CAATTATCCAGCAGTGGTCCTGTTCCTTTACCCTTGTGGGTAATAATATGGTAGCTAGACCTTCAAAATTTATGTGTCTAAACTTTGTTAGTGCTGTTTCTTTGCTATTCTTTTACCCTTCTTGGTCATAGCGATGTAATGGGAGCTGCAAGCTTCACATGTCTAAACTTTGTCAGAGATTTTTGGCAAAGTTATCTGTGGTACCCGTGAGCTGATGTTGCGTGTGGAAAGTGGATGATTGAACAGTAACATTCACGTGCTTTCTACTTCACCAGAAATCTTCGACAGAATGCCCGTAATTTTCGTAAAGTTGAGTGTGCATGTGACAGGTGCTGACAAGGCTGAAAAAGCAGGTGCCTCTTCGATTTCTGAGATCAGCCCTCGTGGTCTCTGAGCAGCCCAACTTTTGAGAAAACAAGCGTCTCTTCGAATTCTGCGATCGACCTTCGTGGTCTTTGAGCAGCCCAGCTTTTGAAAGCAAACGCCTCTTCGATTCCTGAGATCGGCCCTCGTGGTCTCTGAGCAGCCCAGCTTTTGAGAAAGCAAACGCCTTTTCGATTTCTGAGCAGGCGCCTCTTCGATTTCTGAAGCTCCATCGAGTGCAGATTTTTATAGAGGCTGGTATTAAGTTCCAAAGCACACTTGAATCTCCACCAGTAGAAGCTCCCTTCTTGCATTTCTAAGATCTTGATTTGTCCGACCTCTTTTCTCTTCAACACCTTTTAAAATGTCTGGCCCCTTCGACCGTCGTTTTAACTTGAACCTTGTTGAAGAGGCAGCCACGCCTTCTCCAGATAACATATGGCGCCCATCCTTCTTATCCCCTACTGGTCCTCTTACCATTGGGGATTCCGTGATGAAGAATGATATGACCGCTGCGGTGGTGGCCAGGAACTTTCTCACTCCCAAAGATAACAGACTACTTTCCAAACGGTCTGATGAGTTGGCTGTTAAGGATTCTCTGGCTCTCAGTGCTCAGTGTGCAGGTTCTGTGTCTAATATGGCCCAACGCCTATTTGCTCGAACCCGCCAAGTTGAATCATTGGCGGCTGAAGTGATGAGTCTCAAACAGGAGATTAGAGGGCTCAAGCATGAGAATAAACAGTTGCACCGGCTCGCACATGACTATGCTACAAACATGAAGAGAAAGCTTGACCAGATGAAGGAATCTGATGGTCAGATTTTACATGATCATCAGAGGTTTGTGGGTTTGTTCCAAAGGCATTTATTGCCTTCGTCTTCTGGGGCTGTACCGCGTAATGAAGCTCCAAATGATCAACCTCTGATGCCTCCTCCTTCTAAGGTGCTGTCTAGTACTGAGGCTCCGAATGATCCCCCTCCGGTGCCTTCTCTTTCTGGGGTTCTGCCGACTGCTGAGACTTCTCCTAAGCAACCTTTGTGAAGGCTCCCTCTTGTTTGTTTATTTTTACTCGTGTATATGTACATATTTGTAACTTCTTAGAGATATCAATAAATAAGCTTTGTTTCATTTCAACGTATTGTGTTAAATACACCAAAGCCTTCTTCACTAAGTTCTTTGAATTTTTCTTTTGTTGAAGCTTGTATGTCGAAGCTTTGTGAGTGGGTTGAGGGAACAAAAGCATAACCCCATCTTGTAACTCATTTTTTGTCTCCTCACTAACTGGGAAATCAGCTGGGCAAATCACAGGTTCATCCTTAAATATCCTATCCACTAGCAACAACCATCATTATTGTAATCCGCAGGACAAAAGTGTCTCTCCAAGCGTTTCCTTCCACAGTAGAAACACATTTCGAACAACATTTGGTAGCTTAGCAGCAAAGGGCACTCCTCATCATCATCTTAAGTGGTAGCCTAAGGTATACTTCCAGCAAGACTTTCATAAAAAGGCCATTTAGACCAGACATGGTGGTCTCATCCGCTCGAATAAAATTTCCTATAGGCTGAGTAATTACTTCTAGAATCTCAGCATCCCTATATTGTACTGGTACCCTTGGAATCCTTAACCAAACTCTCAGGTTGGAAATAAAGTCCCTGTCCTGAAAATGCACATGCCATCTTTCCATATGAAAAATTTTCCCTCTGACATACCAGGGCCTATTATTCAAAGCAAACTCCAACTCATCCTCATCAGTAAACTCAATGGCATACCACCTATGACCAAAGTGATCAAGATAAAATGGATTCTTGACTTTATCCCCCCAGGTTAGACCAAGCTTCCATTTAATGGTCCTCGCATCAAGTTGTTTTCCCACAAGCTTGCCCATACTATCCATGTACTCGACATTAAGGTTGGAATAAAGATTGGTAAAGACTTTGGTAACACCACTTTCTAGTGTAAAGGTACCACGAGCACCTTCCACCACCACCGGGGGTTGTCCAAGCAAAGGGTTAGCAAACTTATTAGCCTAAGAAGGAATTATGGGGTTAGTGGGAATACAAGCTTGCCTAGAGGAGGAGACTTCGAGTTGGGAAATGACCATCATGGTTGAAAGAATAAGGTACAGGCAAAGAGTGATAAGAGTTAGGATGGAAGTAACACCCAACTCCAAACCCCTATAAATACTAGCGGAAAAGAAACACCTAACACGTAACGGTTCAAGATCAACAATCATACACAAGTAAAATCTAATAATGAGCTGAATACTGAAAGAGCCAATCCAAGCAACAAAGCAAGCATGCTTAGCCTCGAGACTCATAAAAGCAAACCAATCAAACATGTAAAACCTAATAACTAACTACTCGAAAACATAATTTGAGCTAGAAATCGAAAAACCAGACAAACAATAGCAACTCTTTAGCTTCCTTCTAGCACCATAATTAACAATGCAGTAATAAGCCCAATAAGAAATGAAACTTACCTTGCACGCCCATCCTGGGAAAACACTCACCTTGCAGCAGCCATTAAGCATTGACGTCATCGACCAAGAATGTTTTCTTGGGAAAGTCCTCAGCTTCTGCATATCGCTAACTTCCTTGCACACTCCGAATAGCAGAACATCTAGTATATGGTAGTAAACAACAGCTTGCGTCACCCCCAACTCACCGACCTTAGGTAAATCCCTCGTCTCTTGATCTTCTCATTATGGATTAGCTCTTCGCACTCACCTCTTCTAACATAATGATTATAAAAAAGGGAACTTTAACAAAAAGCATCCGATACTGTTCACTTTAACGAAAAACCACATTTTTATACTAAAACGTCAATCCTGGTACTATTCACTTTACCCTTTATTTTGTCCTTATCCTTAAAACTTAAAGTTTTCAAGCTCTTTTAATTAGTTTTCCTTATAAAAAACCTCCCGAAACACTGCCTCGTTAAGACAAATGCGCCTTATCGGAAAGAAAAAAACTCCAGTTTCTCTTGAAAATCTGCCTTAATTGAAATTTCCCTCCCCTCCATTATCCAACTATTTAGCCAATTAACTACAACCCAGCTGAAATTTGCAAAAAAATATAATTATCCAAGTGGATTAATTATACCAGAGTGAACCCTAACCCTAGAAATTTCCCCCTTTTTCCCCTCTCTACTCTCATCCCCTCTCCCACTAGGTTTTTTCAAGAGATTTTTTGTTACGTCACGGTCCACCTCATGTTTTACCCTAAAATATTATAAATCAGATTAATCAATTAAAGTGTTGTGATTTTAATTTAAACATCATATAACAGTATTACAATTACATATAAAACTTCTCGACTAGGCTATGGATAGATTGTTTGTAATATGTACTCAAACGGGTCTATAGGGCCTACAAAATTTTCTTGAATTGGTTGGTCGAGACTCAAAAAAACAACTTGACCAATGTGTTTTGATGGGCTAATTAGATTCTTTTTTACTCTCAATATGAACATGTCATTCGGGCCTGATCCGACAAACTATTTTTTCTCCTCCTCTCTCTTTCACATGTGTTATGCCAATAATTTAAGTTCAATTGGTCTAGTTCTGCCAAGGACTAGGTGATTGAAGTTCTCAAACTTATTTTGCTTGTCGTTTAAGGCGTGTACAAATGCAGATTTGGCGGTAAGGAACTTACATATAGAACACATCAAATCAAGAGTTGTGGTACTTGCATATGAGCATCTATTAATCATCGACGAGCTGTGAGACTTACTTTTATTAACATGGCTGATATTCATATGCACATGTAAAAGAATTTTCAATAGTATTTTTCTTTAATTATAATTAACACGAAAAAATACCATAAACTTTTAACTTTTGCAGCAGCATGCTACTGATTCTCACGCAATGCAAAGTTCAAGGAGGATTCTCGCTAGATTCTCTTTGTGAGGATCCTAAGAACCCTCTAATCACATCCGTTCATCGTATATTGTGCTGACAAAAATCATTGTAAAATTTTTTATTTAAAATTAAATATAATCAGTACCTGATAAAAACTGACCATACGATGTACGATGAATGAATGTGATTAGAGGATCCGGCTCTCATGCAACGTCCAAGAGTTGTACCTTTTTGCTGACACATGGGGCCTTCTAAGCATCCAATTAACACACAGCTAGCTATCTCGCCTATTGAGGTTGATGTGGCCGGCTTGCATGCCAAAAATCCAAGTCTTATTAACTATATATATATATTTTCTTCAAGGGTTGAAAGTTGCGGATGTGGTGCTACATAGTTGAAGGCAAAGCGTATACTTCGTCTGAACTTGCAGCAAGATATTCAAGTTATGACGACGTAATATGTGATTTATGACTTAATAACAAATCCGACTACAATCTTCATTCTCATAAACAAAATCTAATTGTTTATTTTTCAAATCACTCAATGCTACGTACTGCAAGAGAAAATTGACTTCATAAAGTTTTGTTAAAAATGATATGCAATAATAATATTTGGTGGAAGAATGATTACTTCAACTATCGGCAAAAAGCAAAGTATTACAATCATTCCTAGAGATTTTGCAACTTTATTAAGTAGATATAGAGATATGTCAATGGGATTATAGAACCATAATTGATAAATTAGGTCCCGGCCACAAGAGAAAAACCAGGGGGGTTTGCATTTGTTAATTAAAAGAAGATTAATTAATCAACACATAAGGGTACAACTGTAGGGTCTGTATACGGGTGGCCATGATAATTGCCATCACACCTTTTCTGAAAAAGCCATCAACAATAGGTCTCACAAAATAGCTAAAATATATAAAAATAATAATAATACAAATCAAGTAAGGAAAAAAGAAAAGAAAAGAAAGGGTTGCAAATGCCAATCTCTTTACACACACTTACATATGTATCTTAAGATTGTTAAAAAACTTTTGGAAAAAGTAGGGGAATCTACTACTCAAGCTTTGTGAGGGGGGCATTGGTAGCACTTTGTGAATAGACCAAATGTGTTAACTTGGTTTATGAAGTTGAGCATGCTTGCCCATCCTCCAAACCCAAATCCCACTATCAAAACCCATACCACCACAAAGATGTTCATGGTGTATGATCCTGCCCAGCCTCCTAAGAATGATGGTGGTTTCTCCACAGCATTCTGCATGTGTGTCATAAAAAACAACAACTAGTCAATACCTGCACTCATATGTCCGTTCATATCTTCTTAACATGGTTTGATATGTTATGTTTTCAGACTGTCAGTTCAAACCATGAATTGTATAGATTTTAGTTTGAGTTAATGTATTTGGCATGAGGTGGTTACCGTCTTTTGCAATTATTATATCCCATGCCAATTAATATTTTCATTTAACGAAATGAAAAACAACAATGAATATATCAAATTATCAAACAAAAGTAATTACTAATTTGATTATTCTTTTTTTGTTTTTTTGATGCAAAGGTACGATATTCATTAAACAAATTAGAATACGTACAAACTTATATTCTTTGAATGGTCTAAATTTACAATTACATGTCTGATACATGGTATGAGAACGTTACTCTCCTTAGCAATTATTCAAACTTATATTTCTATATATAGCAACATAAAGCATTAGTATGTCATGTCACTCAATTATCAATCTAAATTATGAATTAAGCATGTTCTTATATGAATATATAGTAAAAAATGATAGTTTGATAACATGTAGGATATATTTCAGATATATTTGAGCATTATCGTTAGCAATGATTATCTAATATATATTTAAGATATATTCGACCATTATCCTTAGCAATGATTCGACCCCATGCAAAGATTAAAGGAAGACTAACCTCTCTAGCAGATGCAGAAGCAAAGGTGACCATGTGAGCTAAAGCAGGAATTATGTAGACAGTAAAGCTGACAAGAAGAGATCCAACAGTTGAGTTGATGGGCCCAAAGAATGGGAAAATGATGGCAAGGAACCATATCGGGATCACCACTGGGAGCCTCGCCAGTGCCCTCTTCACCATGCTCTTGGTCTCATGCATTTGAATGAATTTCTCCCACACAAAGTACAAAGGAGTGCAAGCAAATCCAAATGTGATAAACTGCATGCACAAATTAATCCAATTATATATGTAATTCAACAATTAATATTTAGAAATAATTAGATGCGATTAAGAAACCGTGTTAATTAATTACCTGATGAATGAGCATTAGGACTACTGCAGTGTCTCTAAACCTAGTCTTTGGAAGCATGGCTAGGGCATTGGAATGAGTCAAGAGATTGTCCCCGAAAGCCCAGTACACAGCAGACGCAGATGGTAGGGTTAAGGTCAGCACATACAGTGTTGCCATCAAGTATATTAACTTGAACTTTTGTGGCTTCCACATTGCATGCATAATTTCCCTATATATATATACCACACAACATTAATTAATCCTTGTTAATCAAATTAATTAATTAAAACCCAAGTTATTATCATTACTGCTTATTTATTCATTATAATTATTTACAAATGCTCACACTGTAACAGCATGTCCACCAAATGTGTAGAGAATGTTGGTAGCCCCAGTAAAGTATAGAACCATTGTGCTTGGACCAGAGTGCTTCACTCCCTCAACCTTTGTGGACACATAGAAATTAATTATAATTAGGGTTGACTGCAAAAAGATCTTCCAAGATTTTTGCTGATTTAAATTAATTATATAATGAATTCATACTGTGTATATTTATATAATTAAAATACCTGCCCATGGATAAGGGAAGCAATGGTGAGATACCAAGCAGTGTAAGTAGTCATAATAAGGCCCAAAAATGACCAAATTCGGTAATTATGGAATGAGGGGATGAAGACAGTTGTAGCACAGCAAGCTCCAAAGATGTAAGTCCAAGTTCTCTTGTCGAGATTGTCGTTTATGTAGTAGATGTTACTGGGATTAAAACAAAGGCATCAGACAAACCAATACCAACTTTTATGTAATTCATAACATCTATATGGTTATGATTACGTACCTTGCACAGGCAATTAACTGAATTACAGATCCAAAGAGAAGAAAAGTGCAGTTGAAAAAAAGGCCTACATTCCTCCAATGTTTTCCCAAAAGCCCATCAAGAACTTCAAACCACTGCAAATTAATTACCAATCATTATTGACGTTTTGCGTTTGAAGTATTTTTCTTTGAAATCTGAAGTGGAATGTTATCAAGGGCTTACACGTGAATCCCGAATTGAAATTATGTGATATAAAAGAAAATGGATTATGAACATTAACTGTACAACAAAACCCTCAACATTTCATGGCAGCAAGATTGATAGGATAGAGATTAAAAAAATTATAGATTATACATACCTGAATTACATGGTTCCTAAAATCCACCTTTTCTCTCTCCTTTCTAGTTCTGTACTCGACATATAGTAAACTGATGAGGTAAGCAGTCCAGCTTCCCATCAATCCATAAAAAAGCTGAAATAGTATTCCAGATAACAAACCCAGTTGGGAAAATGAGTATGGCAGTGTGAGAAGCACTTGAGCAACCTGCAATATATATTAAATATTAATTCCATTAAAACCAAATGAAGATAATTGAAGATAATTGAAGATAATTAGCTACATACATCAAATTACATAGTTACATTAATACAATGATATATATATAAGTATTTTTGTAATTAAGATTAGATTTGTGCGTGCCTGGTTAGAAGCGCAGCTAAACCATGCATCATATGCTGAGCCACCATGCCAAAGAAATGTTGATAGCTTGCTCTTAGCACTTGTCTGGGCATCACTCTGTTCCCTTTCCATTTCGACGTAGTTTCCGGCTATAACAGTCTCAACCTTCTCGGAAGCCATTGTTATAGTTTTGGTGGTGTTGGTGTGGGAGGAAGAAGCAATGGATGAGTGGATGAGTAGTCTATAAATAAATAGAGGGAGTGCTTCTTTTCACTCTTTCCACTCTCCTTAAGCTTTAGCTTATAACACCCTTTGCTTTTTGTAGATGTAAATTTGTGTTCAATAATTGAGTCACCCAAGTGGAGAAAGCTAGATCATCACCCTTAGCCCTAGAGGACTGTGATTGCATATATGTATATACATGTTAGTACATAAAAATAGTTGTTAAAGCTCTTTAACTATTGCAGTTTAATCAGCGTTATTAATACTCTCAATTTGTTACTTGAACACTTTCAATAAAATATGTTCTAAGTTTTTATATACGTAACGTAAAAATTTTCACCCAATAATCAAGTATCACAAATTACTATGATACTTTTAAATCTTCATATGTAGAACCTGGTAATATTTACTTATAAATAAGACACTTTGGATGCGGTCCATAGCTATCAATATTCTTTGATTAAAACTTTGTTAGTTTTTAGTTTTTTTATTGAGGGCCCTGACATTAATATAATAATGTAAGTTACTATATTTTTTTAATTAAAAATTAAAAAATTGAAATTTGTTATTGTTTATATTAATGAGATTTTAAATAAAACCCATAATTTATGGGATTAAAAATAATAAAATATAAATTATACTCTCTATTATATTGTGTGTGTGTATGTATATACATATATGTATGGGTACATTAACCAAAATTAACAAAAAAAATTATTGTACCAAAACATGGATACATTCTCAAATCAACGAAAAAGAATGTACCCATATAAATTTAAACATGGATAAAAAATTTTGAATGGATTTTATATTAAAAAAGGGTACATTTTACATATAACAAATTGATATATTTGAGAATGGGTACATTTAAGATTAAAAAAATTGAAAAATTATATGAATGGGTACATTTAAGATTAAAAAATTGAGAATCTTTTTATATATAAAAAAAAACTAATAGGTACAAACTTAATTTAATTTATTTTTTATTATTTTGGAAATGTTTGAATTGAAAATTAATTAGAAGTTTAATAGAGGTATGAGTATTAAACCCTAAATTAATTACTAATTTTTATATTAAAATATTATATAATAAACATGTAAATTCATTATCATATTAATGCTAGGGACGGGAATCAAAATTTGAGAACTAATAAAGTCTTAGTCAATGAACAGTAAAAACTAGGGACCGGATACTAATTTTTCCCTTATAAATTGCTATTAACAGGTAAGTTTCTAAGTGGACAATGCTATTCACACACCTATTTTTACCTTTCACATATCCTTGTTAATTTTGGCTATTGATCTTATTTAATTCATTGGATCCGACAGTTAGAAATTGAGAAGTTGTGGGTGAAGTAAAAATAGGTGTGTTGATAGCACACCCTTTCTAAGCACAACAAAACATTCTACCTCAAGTAACTAATAAGTAGACATGACATTCGTGCGTGTTTCTCGTGTTCGTGTCATTTTCGTGACATACCTGATATCTTAATAGGCCGTGTAGTGTAACACTCATTAAAATGAATGGGCAATATGATTCGACCCGTTAGCCGTTAAGAAAAATTATTTTAAATTAATAAATAATCAAATGAAAAATGTAATACTAACAACGTAAGTGAGATCAAAGAATCCAATGGTAGGTGATTAAATCCTATGACTATTATTGTAGCAAGGTTTTTTAATTGTTTTTAATTAATGTAGAAGTGTAAAAGATATTAAAAAAAAGAAAAATATACAAATGCTCGTAATGACAAGCTCTACAACTATTGTAAAGAGATCGACTCTGAAATCAAGGGTTTATGTATTATGGATTGTGGTCGAATTTCGGAGTTTGTCTCTTCACGAAAGTTGTAAAGCTTGTCATTACAAGAGTTGTATATATATATATATATATTTTTTTTTTTTACATTTTTCACCCTTTTGCATTCAAACAATAAACACTATTCATGAGGATTTGGAGGGTTTTAAAATCTAAACAACGATGTAACCATCTCTAAGCATAGAAAATGCAATCACAAGCGTTTGTATATTCTTTTCACATTTTTCACAGTCTTACATTAATTATTATAAATTTTTATTTATTTTGAACTCCCCTAAATATATTGTTCACGAGGGATTGAGGTTTTAAAAATTTAAACAACAATGTACCTATCGTCAAAGCATAAACGATGTGATCACAACGTTTGCATATTTTTTTCACATTTTTCACACTTGTAATGTCACAACCCGTCCCGAATAATTAATTTTTGATGACATGAAATGACAATTGTGCCCTTGGATGTTAAAGTGTATTGTGTGATTAAAGTTAGATTTTGGAACCATTTCCATTATTTTCCTAAGTCTTTGGACCTAATTAAAAGTAAGGAAATTGTTGTTTTGATTGGTGACCCAAACTGTTTGGACCACACATCCTTTCTCTCTCTCACTCTCCCGTGCTCTCTCTTCTCTCTTTTCTCTCTCAGTTTCACTCTCTCTCTCTCCTTGCTATACATACGGACAACCTTGAACCAAGCCAAATCTTCACAGATCGAAGGTTTTGAGCACACCATTGTGTTCCTTAGTCCATTTCGAGTTCAAAGGTACCCATTTCAAGTAAGAACTCGTTCGATATCATGTTGAAAACTCAAGCTCCGAGTTGAGCACTATTCATGAACTTTTGAATGGTTATGTTTTAGGACAATCTAAGCTCACAGTGAGCTCTATGAGGTCCCAAGGAAGCTCAGAGTGCTTCGTTTGAAGGTTTTGGACGTCGGGATCGTGTGGACGAAGTTTGGCCGGGTTTTCTTGGAATTCTCCAGTGAGATCCCGTGACTTTTAGAGCTTTAAATTAGTATGATTATGTTTTACAAGTTAAGAGCTTCATTTTGGTGTAAATTGTGTGAAAAATGATGCAAAACAAGCGAGAAATAGGCAATTGTAGGTCTGCCCAGAATCCGGTGCCGGTGACACTATTCCGACATCTGAAAGTTGAAGATGATACGTGTGAAGGCGCGTGAGGCCGTGCCCTCCCCGACGCGTGAGGGCGTGTGAGCCACAGGAAAATTATTCTAAAAATATCACGATGTTCGTAAGGTTGTGTAGGTCACGTTGGTATATTCAAATACCAAAATTGAGCAATGTATGAGAAGTTATTAGCTAGTTTTGTCTATGTGCTTTAAAATAACGTTTTTATAGTTAATTCGCATATAGGTGAGACTTATCCCGAGGACGAGCGTATCCAGGAGCGACTCGGAGGCTACGACCCTTCGACATACTAGTAAGTGGGTTTTTGTTTTCAGTATATATTTATATACTTGATATATTTCCCTGAAATGCATTTTAAGGAAAGTATGCTTTGAAATAATATGCCAAATGCTTTTATATTATGAATATGCATTTCATGGTTGTATATATATATATAAATGTGGTGCTGTGGAGGCACAGGTAAGTTCAGGTAAGTTATGTTTGAGTATGTGAATCATCGACGATGTGATATGCGATTGAATAATGTTGAGCTCATAAAACTGCACCTAGGGTGATTGAAATTTAGACAGAGATATGAAGCACATGCCTGTTTATTTACATCACCTCCCGCACTATATGCTCATATTGGATCCAACTTAAGTGCACAGTCTTGTCGTACATACCTTAATTATGGTTCCAACTTGTAGGTGACTAGCGATTTATCGCCCGGCTATTATGAGAGAATAGAATTGAGCATAATTATATTTCACCCAATCTTGTCGTATAGACCCTTTTTAGTGGTTCCGACATATGTGCAGTATATTGTCGTATTGGTCATTGTAGTGACTCCGGCTAAATTGACTTTTGAGCTATGAATTCAGCCGTACAGACTACCACAAGGGTTTCGGCTAACATATCATATATATATGAAATCATTCTTATCTGGATTGTTTACTTTGTTCTATTTTGGCATGGCATACATTTGAATATGATTATGTGAAGCATGAATTGAATTGATATGATTACATGTATATATAAATTATGTACATACTTACATCTGGATTCTAGGAAAATTTTACATGTTTTACAGCGAGGGGTTAATACGTTGATAAAAGAAAATGATTTTGTATAACATTTGTTTTTGCCCACTCACGTTTTCTGTTTTGCGCCCCTCTAGGTTTTAAGTAAGCTTGCTGTTGGTGGCTCGAGGACGTCGGCTGTTTTGACTTATCTGAATAATAGTAGGATATTCCTGGTACTGTATAACTAGTACTTGTCCTACTGGACTGCATCTATACTTATTAGCTTTGATTAGGAGTGTCTACTATTGTAACTAACTCCTATCACTTTCTGTTTAGTAGTGCACTCTAGTAAATTGGTTTTTGATTATTCGTATAAATCTTATTTTATTGCTTCTGCACTGTGCACATAGCTACGTCACTCTCACGTGACGGCCAACATGCCTTGATCTCGGTCGGGGTGTGTCATGTAAAGTAATTATTATGACTTTTTTAATGTACTTTGGTATTTATAAATTGCTTCAGTATTTTGTATGTGATGTACAAGTTTTTAATCTCACTTATGTGAGATTAAATACTATAGATAACTATTGTAGTAAGGTCTTTTAGTAGTTTAAAATTATCAAATTAACTTTTTTCTTATCGGGTTGAAACAAGTTGCTCGCGGATAAATTTGTCAAGAACCCGTTAATAAAGGGTTATTAATGTATGACCTGATAACGATACGATTAGTTAACATGTTGATCTGAAATACATTATTTTCGGGACGTTTCGAATCAGATTAACAGGTCATGTAACAAATTGTCTGGTCTACTAATAAGCATAGGTAATTACTCATGCACCACTCACACAATTTCCTTTATAAGATATTTTTATTTCATTGTGTTGGAGAAGATCCATTGGTTGGTGATATAGATACGTACCCACCACGTAACATACGTATTCTACTTTTCTACCAAATTTCACTTTAAACTTGTTATCTGGACATGAAAAAGCTGTTGATGGGCCATTCCTAGCATGCATTTGCACGAGCGGCGGTGGCCCAGGTTTGGAAGATGTATAGATTGGTGGTTACAGCATACTGATAGATGGATGATGCTGATAATTATAGCGAA